TATATATATGTGTGTGTGTGTGTGTGTATGTGTGTATGTATGTATGTGCGTATGTGTGCGTGTATGTGTATGTAGGCCTCTATATGTATGTGATATGTGTATATATACTTACTTTTTAATCAATGTGCAATAAGAACTAGCATATCTAAATGATGTAGGCCTCATTATTATTCCATTATTATTCCTTTTTGATAATACAATTTCATGTGTGTGTGTGTGTGTATATATGTATGTATACATATATACATATGTATGTGTGTGTATGTATATGTATGTATACATGTGCTGCGCACATGCATGGATACACATGTATCTATTTTTAATGCAATGTAAATCTTAATGTAACTTATTGTGAATTGAGTAGTGTTTTTTTTTTTAATAGTGCTTTTTACGCCAAATGGAACTTGAATTTCCATTTTTATTTGAACAATAAAGTTTATCTTATCTCTTATAAGGATGAAGCCTCGAGCCCTACATATATTCACTTCACTGCCTACTTTTAGGTACATCCCAGGCCATTTGCTCTCATTTTCCCTGTCAAAACACCAAAACAACTAGTACAAATACAATTTATGATTTCCTATTTTGTATTCAGTTAACCCTTATCTTTTATTGAATTCACAATGTTTTATAATATGTCAGTGGGAATCACTTGCATGGCTGCATCTTCATACTGCTGTAATAATTCTTCTGTGAGCTTACCAAGCCCAATATTTCATTTAGTCTTTCGACTAAATGTGAATAGTTTATCTTGAAAGCAGCGTAAATATAATAATGGTATTGTGCCATCTTATTATGTTCTGTGTTTCATGCCATTAAGTTACGTGCAGAGTTTATTGAAGCATGTAGTCCATTAGAATAGAATTATTCTCATATTGAAAGAAAGAAAATTCTGTTTCAAGGATTTTTTATTAATAGTTTTCTGCATCATATAACCAAATATTGAAGCTTGAAGCTAAGCTGTCATGATAGCCCAGCTATTTAGGATTGCAGTATGCCTGTAATGGAAACCTAGATACCCTTTCCTGTCCATTGCCTTAAAAACTATCAAAAATTATTTCAGATTAAAATATATAACTGAAAAATTAGTCAATCTTGATTACTCAAATAAGCATAATTTATTTATCAAACTGCATATAAGCTTTTGCTATTGTGGCTTTATTTATAGTACAGGAACTTAGAGAGATGAGTAATGATGGGAATTTGAAATCTAGACTTGTTTACTTACTTAAGCTCATAATCTTAAAATTGAATTTAAATTTAGTTTCCTCAAGTTGAACGTCATGATAACCGGGAAATTATAGATCCAAAAGGAAGAGAAACTTCTTTGAATTTCACAGTGTTTCACTTGCTGCATTTTGTTTTGTAAGATTCATTTTCAAATTTTTTGTTCAGTTCTACAATTTTATTTTAATTATTTGTATAAGTATTTCAATATTTATTCCATTTTAGATTTGAATGATTTCAATTTGTTTTAATGACAGATTTTTAGTCACTTTTGTATTCTATTTTTCTTTATTTCAATATATGCCATTGTCATTTATTGAAATTACAAGAGGTAGTGGCAAAACTGATTAATTTCAATGTGTTTTTAAACTTTTTGGCTGACAGATTTTTAGTAACGTTTGGTAAACATCGCACAACATGGCTTTGCAAGTGGATCCGGCATTCCGAGATGCAGGGAAGAAAGAAGGCTTAAAAATATGGAGGATAGAGAACATGAAGGTGGTTAGCTGGCCAGAAAAGGACTACGGTCACTTCTTCCAGGGAGACTCCTATATTGTCCTTCATGTGAGTTTGCATTTATATTATTGTTTTTTTTAAAATTTTTATTACAAGGTTTTGTTTGCAAGCAAGGTATTTTATATTTTCCCCATAAGACGTCGATTTTATAGAAAGGTAGAAAAAAGGGTGGTTATGCCCCTTTTTTACCAGTTTTTAATTATTCAAAAATCTGTATCTCATTAACAGCTTCTGAGTTTTTATCAAATATGCTTTTGGTGTCTTAGAAAAATCAGTTCTACAACATATCAAAAATTTTATTTCCTCCGGAGCCTGACTTTAAATTTATTCTCCTAGCAGTTACCTGGTAGGGTGTGAATGTTCTAGAAAGAATTCTATCCAGGGAATGGAAATGGATGACATCTGTGCACAATTGCTTATATCCAGTGTGTCCTCCATATGCATAGCATGATATAATAATTTAATATATGTTCTACTACTTCTATACAAAAAAGTACTAAATCTTATTCATTAATTCTAACATTCACATTTTTTCTTCTGCAATAATATGGAAATAATCACTTAATTTTTAATTAGGTTGTAAATCATTAACACGTTGACTGCCAGACCTTTTTTTACGATTCCTTCCCGTGTGCCAAAACAAGTTTACATGTACAAACATACTTTTTTGAAATTTTATCTAGTCATATATCATCAAAATGATGTGTCTAATAAATTGGCGGGGAAATATTAGGGAGGCGAGTATACTCGTCGATGGCACTGTGATAGAACTTTTTGCTGACTATGCCAAGTGCGAGTTATCTCGTCCTCTTTTTGCATGGGTTGGTATATGTTCAAAGGGCGCCCCCACTTGTACCGCTCGAGAGTACTACCGGCAACGTAACACAACAAACATACATATGTCATTTGTACGTTATCGTCTAGGTGTATCTTCCCCGAACTACCAGCCGTTGAGTCTGTGGTCCTACATAAAGAAGTTATAAACGCTAGAATGTTCCCCCGTTTTTGATGAGTATACTTGTTCCTGGCGCCCTCAGCAACACCCTGTGGGCGAGTATACTCGTCGCTGGCAGCCAACGTGTTAAAAAAAAGTTTAGGCTTTATAGTGTATGAAGATTGTGTTTCAAATTTCTCTATAGTCTTTTGTGAATACTTAACATGGATATAGCCACTCATTTTGTCATTGTTTGTTTACGGAAAATATCATGACGAAATAGAACTTTCTGTCCCTGCACCCTGCATGATTGAGCCCACACCCAGCTTATCCTCATTTCTTTGTAGTCGTATGTTGTAATACGATATTACCTTAAAAAAACTTGTCACTTATGAGTGACAGTGGTTCAAAAAGGGAAGATAACATTCAGAGATGCTAGACAATAAAAACAAAGTACTCCGGACACATCATCAAAGTAGTCAATGTAATAGTTTAAAGGTTATAATCATCGGTTGATCAAGCTGAACAACGTGCCACATAAGACAAAACTACCATGGATATTCTTATGAATATTCCAGTTACTTAACCTGTACTATACATTGACTATGCAAAACAAAATACAAAATACCATGACGAAAATACAAAATACCATGATGAAAAACAAAATACCATGATGAAATGGAACTTTCTGTCCCTGCGCCCTGCATGATTGAGCCCACACCCAGCTTATCCTTATTGCTTTGTAGTCGTATGTTGTAATACGATATTACCTTACAAATACTTGTCACGTATAAGCGACAGTGGTTCAAAAAGGGAAGATAACATTCAGAGATGCTAGACAATAAAAACAAAGTACTCCGGACACAGCATCAAAGTAGTCAATGTAATAGTTTAAAGGTTATAATCATCGGTTGATCAAGCTGAACAACGTGCCACATAAGACAAAACTACCATGGATATTCTTATGAATACTCCAGTTACTTAACCCGTACTATACATTGACTATGCAAAACAAAATACAAAATACCATGACGAAAAACAAAATACCATGACGAAATAGAACTTTCTGTCCCTGCGCCCTGCATGATTGAGCCCACACCCAGCTTATCCTCATTTCTTTGTAGTCATATGTTGTAATACGATATTACCTTACAAATACTTGTCACTTATGAGTGACAGTGGTTCAAAAAGGGAAGATAACATTCAGAGATGCTAGACAATAAAAACAAAGTACTCCGGACACAGCATCAAAGTAGTCAATGTAATAGTTTAAAGGTTATAATCATCGGTTGATCAAGCTGAACAACGTGCCACATAAGACAAAACTACCATGGATATTCTTACGAATACTCCAGTTACTTAACCCGTACTATACATTGACTATGCAAAACAAAATACAAAATACCATGACGAAAATACAAAATACCATGATGAAAAACAAAATACCATGATGAAATGGAACTTTCTGTCCCTGCGCACTGCATGATTGAGCCCACACCCAGCTTATCCTTATTTCTTTGTAGTCGTATGTTGTAATACGATATTACCTTACAAATACTTGTCACTTATGAGTGACAGTGGTTCAAAAAGGGAAGATAACATTCAGAGATGCTAGACAATAAAAACAAAGTACTCCGGACACAGCATCAAAGTAGTCAATGTAATAGTTTAAAGGTTATAATCATCGGTTGATCAAGCTGAACAACGTGCCACATAAGACAAAACTACCATGGATATTCTTATGAATATTCCAGTTACTTAACCCGTACTATACATTGACTATGCAAAACAGATATCGTTATGAAAGTATAATACATACTCCAAGTATTGAAATACACGCCATCGTGTTGGGATTCAATATTTCGACATTAATTATGTCATCATCAGAAA